TACGCTTATGCCTGCATTTTTATTTTGTTAAATACAAACAAAATTGTAGCAAAAGTGCTGCCACGTGTCTGGCCAGAAAGAGCTGTTTATTTGGTAGTTCAAGGAAACTACTGTACTATACTGCTGTGTGACTGTCTTCTGCTCGTCAAATACATTTCATTGCAATGTTGACCCTGCGCTAACTTGCATATGACAAATGAAACTGGAAGGCTTCAGATAGTTAAACGTGAGAAAAAAATTGCGTTCATGTTTGCATTTTTGTCTAATTACACAATAATTGGAATTAAATAAAACAAACAAAACACTACATTTTAGGAAATATTAGTGGCTGTTTTCATGTTTGTTTTTGTGTACTACATGGACACTAAAGTGGCCCTCCAACGAGATGACGGTGCCAGAAGTGGCCCGCGGCTCATTTGAGTTTGAGACCCCTGGTCTAGACCATGATATGGGCATAATGTGTGTGTGTTGTTGACCACATGGAAACTTTCAAAGTTTTTACTTGAACACCTGGTCGCACCGGTGTGATCTAGGATTTTTTTTAGTCGCACCATTGAAAAATTAGTTGCACTCTAGAGCCCTGACACATGAGATGAGGCACCGTCAAAATTAAACAATGCACCTGCTGAAGCAAAAGCTTGGGTGTGGTAGGACTTGGGGGAATGAAACTACTTTTCACTAGACCCTGTGCACGAGAAAATGCTAACTTCCTGTTTTAAGACCGGATGTAGGGTTGTACATTTCCGGTAGTTTTATTTTGCAGTCAATTGCTACTGCAAAGGTGGACTCCAAAATCATGTCCAAAATATGAAAATGGAAAGATTACGTTAACTCACAAAGAGCAGAGGGTGGGAACACTCACCATTGCTGTGTCATAAAAAAATCAAATGATCACTAGCAGTGTGACTCTGAAGTGTTATACTTTATGTTTGTACGTTTTCTCCCCAACAAACACAACAATGTCGACGAAACGTTTTGCACCATCAAAGGCATCTGCAGTAGCACCCAAATGGCAGAGGAAGATACTAACCATCACACAAAAAGTTGGACTTCTGGACATGCTAAAGGAAGGTTGAAGTTACCATATATATTTTTTTACCACTGGATTATAAGGTGCATTAAAGTTAAATTAAGCAATTAAGCTTAAAGTTAAACTCATTAGCTGTCATTATTATTAAAACAAATATACTGTATGTTTATTTCTCAAATAAATGTTTGGGACTGAAAGCAGGTTTTGATCTTTGGTTTCATTCTATAATGAAAAGTGTGAAACTGTTCATGCCTGTCTGAGAAAAGTGTACAAAGTGTGTAGTGACGGGTTTTACAGCATTAAAACATCTAAAATAATTATAAAAAATAAAGCTGGCTATTTTTTTAGCTTGTTATTTTTAGAACATAACACCCGTGATAAACGAGGGAACTCTATATACAAATACTGAGAAATTTCAATCCTTTCTCTCTTTTGCTTTTGAGACATGAGACATGTTTTTAGACATGTTGCCATTTGAGATATCAGGATAAATGTAAACCTCCACAAATGAGTTTAGTTTCCATGTATTATGTATACATGGAAACTAAAGGAAAGCGAACAAAAAACCTGTGACATCCTTGCTTTTATTTCAATAAGTGTGAACGATATATATTAATCTTAATAAAAATTACATGTCATGTGATGATGTCTAGGTGATGGTTTATTGGACGAGCAAAAATGTATGATTGCTAGCAAATAAGTACCACAATGAAAGAAAAAACATTATATGTCCAGCAGTATTCACTGTCCTGCCTTCACATGCTTAACATGAACTTGAGCTAAATACTGTTCTTAATTCATAAGGTTTAATATGAGGTTGTGGCGGGGTGTGGTCGGCGGTGCGGCTGCAGCGTGAACGCACCTGCAGGGCATCGGCAATCATGCCTTGCTGGGTTAAAAGACTGAACTGGGTCCTGTCATGTTGTTGTTGGTGATGATGTCTGCGGCTGGCAGCAGAGGAGCTGCAGCTATTGAGTTTGTAACAGCAACCGAGTTGAATAAAGTAAAATGTCACTTAATGCTGAATCGTGGTTGCATCATGCTTCATTCCTGCCACAGATGTCAATCCATCTATTGCAGCTATAACAGTTTCAATTCTTCTGGGAAGGCTTTTCACAAGGTTTGGGAGTCTGATTTTAGCTATATATATTTTTAACCATTCTTCCAGAATTGTGTTTTTGAGTCAGGCCATTTGGACAATTGCCTTGCTTGCAGTCAAAATTAACCAAATTAATCCCAAAGGCGTAGTAACAGGTTGAGGTCAGGACTGTGCCAGTGAAGTTTGTCCACACCAAACTTGCTCCTCCATGTCTTTATGGACTGTGCTTTGTGTTTTGTGCACTCATCCACAGTCATGGTGGAACAAGAAGGGGCCAAACTGTTCCTACAAAGATTTGGGCATGTTTTTGTATGCTCAAGTATTAAGAGTTCCCTTCACTGGAGCTAAGGGATGAGCCCAACTCCTGAAAACTTGTCTATTGGATTGCCAGATAGAAAAGCATAATTTGTCACTCCAGAGAACACACCTCTGGCCATCTACTAGACACCACTTGATCCCGCAGTTTGCATTGCTCTTGATGATGTAACCTTGGATGCACCTGGAACCACTAAATGATAAGATGGCACGTACCACATTTGAATTAGAGGTCATGGTTTTGCGACATGCAAAGAACCCCTAGCTTTAATTAATTGTCACACACACACCCATTTTTCAACATATATTTGGACAGGACACCGGTATATGACAGTTTGAAGAAACAGGAAACGGACACATCTTCATTTATTAAGAAGAAATAAGTAGACTACAGATAAGGTTTGACTGTTTTAAGGTATTCATAGCGTCTAATATTAATTCTAATATTCTATTTAACTTTTTGAAAAACAGTTACCACATTTCTGGTGACCCGTGTAGAGCTATGGGTAGCTTTAGATTGGGTCCAGAGTTATTTGGGTGACAGGAAGCAGTTTGTGAAATTAAATGGCGGTTGCTCCTTATGTATGGACATTGCTTGTGGTGTACCCCAAGGGTCAGTATTAGGTCCAAAATTCTTCAACTTGTACATTAACGACATCTGTAAAGTGTCCAAAGTATTAAAAATGGTTCTCTTTGTTGACGATACAAACATTTTTTGCTCTGGTGATGATCTGCAGAATTTATTGGAGGATATGACTGAATAAATCTGAATAAATCTAAACTTATGTTATTTGGAAATAGTAGTTTAAATACAAATGCTAAGATTCAAATAAATGGTGCCGATATTGAAAGAGTCAGTGAAAATAAATTTGTGGGGGTAGTAATA